CTAAACCTAACTATTAGAGAATGTTAACCTATTCAAGGACCTCAACTAACATCTTATGTTTTTATATTGAATGGTTCTTTGATATAGTATCAGAGTCACTTTGACCAAGTGGTCTAGTGTTTGATCCTCGTTACACCATTATAATTAATTAAGTTTCAGCACATGGTATGAGCGGGTTTGTGCTTATTCTCATTTCAAGCTCAGCAGGGCATGTGTTAGAAAATATCAACTTATTCAATGACCTCACCTAATAACTTAAACTTTTAGTTTGAATGGTTTTTTGAGACCAACCATCGTGCTTACCTCCCAAACCTGTCTTTCTCATCCTCCACCACAATCAATCCATGGGCATTCCCGTTTTGTTTTCTTTTAGGACTCAGGCCCCTCAACAACCAACCTAACCACAAAGATTTCCCCCAAAATTTCCACTGTGAGAGCTTTAGAAATTTCATGTGGAACTTTCACCCACACCACACAGGTTCTCTTCTGCAACTCCGGCAAAAACCTCCGGCAGCGTTCCTCACCTCCCTAAACGCCTCCAAACATCATGCGTGAAGAGGCAATTCAAAACACCTCACCCTCCACCGCTCGGAACCCCTGAGATTACAATCTCTTTCCAACCCTGAAGACCACCGAACAGAGTTAATGTCTTGCCCCCCCTACCTGCACGGGCTTTGTTCTAAAGCTCTAATGGTCTCTATCTCCAACTCCATCGCGAACAGGAACCAATCTCCGGCCATCCGCCTAATCTCTGGGTTGGATTTACAGTTCAACAGTGAAGCAACCTGTCTCTGCAAATCTGGAGTCCAAGACCTCTCACCTTCAAACTCCCCTACTAAGCATCTTCGTAACCAGCTTTCCCTTCCTCTCACCCCCGGTCCCCAACTCGCACTCTAACTCCTGCCGGTGTTACCTGAACAACGGCTTCACTTTTTTCAGAGACACCGAACACCGAACAATGGCCAAGTTGCCCATTGAGCCTCGGTATAGAAAAAACCCCTTGAGCCTCAGCCTGTCATCTAATTGAACCAAAACTAAACTTAACCCAGGCTTACTAAATCTGAGCAAAAAAGAAGGAAACAAGAATGTCTCAGCTGTTGCACATACCTTAGAAGAAGGAAAGAACAATGAAAACATGGCTGTATGTAGTCTGCACGTGAATGTTTTATCTATATTCGTGTAAAAATCTAATCCCATTGGTTGGCAAATGTTATTGGGCTGTTCATGTTCTCCAAAAATTTTGCCTTTTCTTCTTTTAAGTAATGTCACGTAAGAAAAAAGCTAAACATGTGCTTCGATGATTGTTTTCAAATACAAAGTGAATGCTTTCATTTTGATTCAGATTCAGAAGAACAACCTAAATCACCAAAGAGATGCTTTCTAAAACAAGAAAATGGGGGGTGTTACGTTTGGCGTTAATTTTGCGTACAGTTCTCTAAGGAACTTTAATGTTTGTTAAAAATGAGACAATGTTTGGATGTTTCAGTTTCTATGTGAAACGAGTAAGGCATAATATAAAAAATAGTGTTTTCAATCCAATGTTGACCCGGCTGGTTGAACCGCTCAAGTCATCACCTGGTTTGGAAATCTGCCATTTGGTCAAAAATGTTGGTTTGGTAAAAAATCATCCGATCCTGGTGGTCAACCATTAATCCATTCAACCTGGGCGGTGTTTGGTATGGCTTCTGTTTATTTGATAAACAGTGCCATGTCATCGCTAAATCAACATTCATCCCATCGTGCCGATTCATACGCATAGGTATTGATAAAAGTTGGTCTTGCTTTATGTGTGCGCTAATCGTTAGGGGAAACTCCATTTTAACGCTTCCCCCAACGGTTAAGCATTAATTCACTGTTCCACAGTGTGAGGCATCTAGTGGCGCCTAGTTGTCAATAAACGATTTATCAAGTGCTTTTTCTTGGTTTTGAAGACAAATCAAATAGGTACAAACGTTTATTTAATAAATGAAAGCTATAACAAACACATACCCGGTCACAAGGTTATGGGTTATACATACACTTAAGACTACATTTGGAAGTGATGTAAAATGTCTTCGGTGTAAAAGTTTACGTCAGTTCGGTTTTGTTAGCATTTAGATGGAGTGGAAATCAAGGTCAATATAAAACTCCACTCCCGGTTCAGATTTATCAGTGTTTAGATGGAGTGGAGTTTTACATCGTAAATCAATGTAAAACCTCATCTAAAGTAAAGTTTTACATCAATTATCGATGTAAAATGCAACACTTTTCAAAGCTCAATGTTTAGAACCTTTTTACGCTTTGGTGTGAAACTCCGTGGACTTTACATTGATGAGGTTTTACACCACTTTTAGACATAGCCTAATGTATATGCAAAATTCTAGAAGCCATAACTTTGTACTTTGATGTCAAATTGGGGTGATCTTTTTTTTTTTGAATAACTTTTTGAAATCTATGTGCAAACTTCTAGAGGCCATGCATATCTTTTTTTTATTTTTTGTACTAATCAAAAATTAAAAGTTGAATTAAAAAATATAAATTAAACATAAAATAATATTTATATATACATATATTACCTCTCAAATATATACACACACATTTGTTGATGTGGCATAGTCTGACCTGTTCAACTCGGATGGTCGAACCGGTGACTTGTGGCTAGGAGTGGCAACGAGCCAAGTTTTTCATGAGCTGCTCAAGCTCGGCTTGTGAAAAGTTCGGCTCAGCTCGGTTTCAGCTGAGCTCGTGAGGCTTGTGAGCCAGCTCAAATATATATATATATATATATGATGTTTAATATATACAATATATATAATAAAATTATAGAAAATAATATATACATATATATAATAAAAATATTATTTCTTATTTTTTTAAAATATAAAATAATTTTTTTTGTATATAATTTTTATTTTTATAAAACATTTTTTCTAAATATTTTTATAATAAAATATAAAACGAGCCAAGACGAGCTCAAGCTTATGAACTTTTGACTTGAGCCGAGCTCGAGCTCAAGCTTCTGGCTCGAACCGAGCTTGAGCCTTGTAGAATAGTCTCGAACCGAGCTTGAGCCTGGTACTATTCGGCTTGGCTCGGCTTGAATCTACCCCTAGTTGTGGCATTGAGGCAAAAATAGTTTGGCCTCCGAGTCAATTATTAAAACATTAGTCAAAATAATGCCACTTCATTAAATTTGTAGATATCATAGAACAATTATAAGGATGATAAGTTCAAAAAATTTATCCAAAGTAGCAATCTATTACCTTTCTCCCAGTACCCAAGCTAGGCTGCTCCTTCGCTTCCTCTTTCTCCTCAAAATACTTAAAATACTGAAATAAGATGAATAAAAAATATCTAAAAGAAAAATAAAAGAAAAAGTAGAGAATAAAACTAAAGTAAAAAATTAATAATTAATTAAAATTCTTATTATAATTATAAATAATACAATTAAAAATTTAAATACAGTTAACTAATTAAGTAAAGTTAATAATAAATTACTTAATTAATTAATGTTAAAAATTACTCTTAATAATTGATAAGTAATTGTAGTTAATTAATTATCAAGCTTTTCAAAAAATTAGTTTAATATTAAACTACCATATTTGATGAATTATTGTTGTTTTGAATTTTGATTATTGTAAATTATTTTGTAGTAATTAAAATAAAAATAGTTATAATTAATTATTATTGAAATTTACTTAAATTACTAAGTATAAATGTAATTAATAATTATGGTAATTATTATCGAAAATTACCATAATATATGTAAATTATGTTACCTAATTAGTTACCAAACTATTTCAAAAAATAATTTAATAGAAAATTACCAAAATTATCAAATTAATTAATAAAATATCAATAATTAACATAATAGTAATTTAATAGTAGATTACTATTAAATTATTGAGTTTACCATAATTTTGTACATGCCCCAACTTATAAGGTTCAACTTGATATCTACCCAAGGTATCGCTTCTCCTAAGTGAGAGAAAAAACAAAACAAAAGAATTAGTGTAATCAATCATATATTTTAATGTTCTGGATTAGAAATCAAACCAAATTATAAGAATACCCTTTTATGTGTAGGGTATTATGGCCCTATGGGTGGGGGTTAGCTAATTATAATCCTAAACTTAGGTCAGCCAAACCTGCACCTGATTTTGGTGAAATAATCAAAACTGTAACCTGACCCCACACTCTAATAAGTAATAAGCCTGACCCTAACCTGACCATGTAGGGGCGAATATACCATTTAACTAAATCCATTCACATCCTTATATGAGATTAACCACTCTCACTAGGTAGGGTTTCCATTGGATGATTAGAACAATTAAACATAACTCAAAAGATATAATAGTTGGCTTGCCCCAATTAGAAATGTGACAAATGTCATAAGCTCTTTCTACTTCAATTTTGCCTAACGAGGGCCATGCATTGCACATATCCCAACTGGTAAATACTTAAATCAAACATAAATGAATCATATCAAATCTAATAGGGTTGAATCTATATTAATGAATCAAGTTTGGATCATTAAGAAATTCAATTTGAGTTTGGATAAACAGACACCATTTAATTTAATAAGAGCTGAAATAGCTGAACTGACTTATTGCTTTGTATGGGCTCTCCCACCTTTCCCTTCTTTTACCTACTTTTCCTTCAAATCAAACGCAGCCTTAACGAATATAAATTATTTAAGAGGTTGTCGGTGCCTTGGCTTAGGTAGATACTTGGTTATTCTGAGCGTAGAAAAAAAAATGGACCCAAGTAAATTAATGAACTGGTCCTCCCAAAATGACAATAAGGTGAAGATCCAGTTGTTAAGATGGTGACACTGCCGATTCTTTGTGGTATGTAATAGTAATAGTGTAATGGGTTAATCCCAAAAATAAAAATAAAAATGAAATATATTTCCGACCCCACAAAAAATTAATAAAAGATGCAAAATTGTGTTGTGCCTATATGTCTATGTTTGATTTGATAGAAAAAAAAAGTCGTGATCCACACAGATACAAACAAGATAGCATGACAAAATATCTCGTTTGATATTTATAGACAGATAAGACTTGAGATCCAACCACTCTGGTTTCTGAGAGAGTCATAGAGATAGATAGCTGAACCGGTCTCCTCTCAAAGTTTAATAAATTTCAGTCTGTAACAGTAAGAATAATACAACAGAGACCTTCTCTCTCTCTCTCACACACACAGAACATGTCAGTATGATCTTACTGCTATATAAACGATCATAAATTCACAATTCGACGCTTAACGTGACATGCCGTCTTGAACGACCGGAGCCATCGCCACTCCCCGGCTTTGTCTCTCCATGTTACCATGCCATCCTGCAAATTTGAAGAACCAAAACAGACCCCATTTAGTGCTAAAACGGTAAAACCATCGATCGATCTCCGGCCGGAAGATTGATTTGCAGAGAGATAAAATAGGTAGAGGAGGAGAAAACAGACCTAAAGACATTTCAAATCCACGGTTTTTGAGCTCTCTGTACTCTTGACATAAGGCGCAGGACTCGCAGAAGCAATGAACAAGGCAATCGCCACAGGGGCTCTCCTTCAGCAGGTATTGCTGCCTCAGCTTGGAGCGGTAGAAGCACGAGTAGAAGAAGGGACAACCAGTCACACAGGCGATAAGAGTGTAAAGCGCTCCGTTGGATCCGCAGGCTGCAGTCGTTAGATACCACACCCACTTCATTATTATCATTAATCTGAAGAACCCAGAATCTTGTAAGAACAGAATTCACAAATTCAACTAGTATTACTCACCGGAGGATCCTTTGTCGACGATCTCGGCGATCTGACCGAAAGTAATGCATGGGCACCAACATGTGATGCAACCTGTTCAGGAGGGTAGGCATGCACGGATCCATCAAATTCTGGAAATTGGGTAAGCTTGGAAAATTAAGGAAAAGATAAAGGATGATGAATTCATACAATTGCGGACATCGGAACCACAGTCGCAGAGGCCGGTGGACCAAGGTTGTAGAGCTTGAGCTTGTCTTGTAAAGGCAGCAGGTGGGGGATTCTGACTGTAGTATTGATTCGTTGAGCTCACCGGGATTCCGGTGGTGGCTGTGTTCTGACTGAACTGTGCAGCCGGGGGTGCCGTCGGTGGCGGAGGTGAAGATGAGAACTTCTGATACTCATTTGACTTTGATGAATACATCACTGAATTAATCAGCCAAGATTCGACACGAAACAGAGTTCTGGGGGAGGAATTACTGAGATGAAGATTTTGATCGGAGAACAAGAACTTGGGTTTATATATATAAGAAAAATGAGAGTGGAGAAAGAAGAGAGGAAGCAGGGGTCAAGGTAAGGAGCCAGGAAGGAAGCTACCTTATGGGGGACTTTGTCAACGGTCATGATGTAGATATCAGTATAGGCCGTTGATTTATTCGGTGGGCCGTTGAAAATAGGTGGGACCCGTAATTCAAATTCCAGTCAAGCTGCCAGTAAAATTAAACATTTTCAGGAATTTTTATTTTGGAATTTCTTGCATTTATTGGTATTTTGTTGATGTGATGTCTAATGGTATTATAAACGTTTTCATTAATTGTTTTTCTCGATTTTATAAAGGTTTACTCAATAAACATAATCCAAACCAAACAGCCTCCAAATCATCATTCTGTTGCAACTTTTCACAGAAGAGAATAGGACGGAATCAATGAGAAGTTTCGTGGAAGCTTTGAGTCTAAAGTCAAAGTCAAGGTCAAGCACTAACCCTTATTTCTATTGGGTTGAAATAAGGCAGTTTGATTTTTATGACACAAGAATTATATTTCAGATGTTCACAGAAAAGAGAGAGAGCTTGTCCAAAAAAAAAATGACCATGTTTTATTAGAGGAAACAGACCTAAACTCAATGTTTTTTAGCATAAACCTCTGGTTTAGTAGTTATTGGTATCCTATATTTCATCTCTAATCTAATAATGGATTTCTTGTTAGTTAATTAATTATTTTATGTCTTAATGGGCCTTTTAGGCAGTGCTTGGTTTGATAGATAGGAGAGACACAAAAATATCAGAATTTTCTGTTCTCTCTTATGTTTTTGTCAAACCAAATACAACTTTATGACTTATGTATCTTTTTTATGGTCAAGTTGAGCTTGTGACATTTAAAATGACTACTCCCAGGCCAACATGACTGTATGACACGGGCTATGCCACGCTTGGGTTTTGAGGCCCACGGATTGGCACAAGATAATGTGGGCCATGTTAGCACAAACAACAGCTCGATATGAGACAAAAGAAAGTTAGCCTGTTATGGGTTGCGCCAGCCAGCTGAATAATATAGCTTTTAGGATGGCTCCAATGGCTATTTTACACTTTTTTGGGGTTTTTCTTTTTATAGAAATATATTCCAATAGTTATAAACAGCTAATTTAAATGTATATTTTGGTTTTGGAGGACAGAAAGTGACTTAAATACCTCCCCAACATCTAGGTTTGAAAAATTTTTACAACAATCTATAAGTCACCAATTTAAAAATGTTTGTAGAAATATTATTAGAGCAGGTGCTTTAATTTTTTTTATTCATACAAATAAGATTTGATTTCTACTTTATTAAATCTTCATTCTAGATTTGTCTTCAAATCTGGTATTTGAACTCCAAACGTAATAGTTGTTATATTTGTGTAATATGACATTTTATTAATGACTCTTTCCTTTTATAAAAGAGAATTTTAAGTTTTTCATACTTGAATGGCCATATATTAGCTCAACAATTGCTAAAATATTTTAAATACTTTATATATTTATGGTATTGAAAATAAAGCCATTTCTATTAGTTTTGATAACGCTAATAGTAATAATTTTGCAATAAATGTTTTATAGGGTAAAATACAAAAACCTCCCCTAAGTGTTTTGACAATCATAAAAATAAATAAATACTTGTACTTGATTTGTCTTAAAAACTGAGAAAAACACTTGATAAATCATTTATTGACAACTAGGCGCCACATCAATGGAGCAGTGAATAAACGCTCAACCGTCGGGGGAAGCGTTAAAATAAAGCTTTCCCCAACGGTTGGTGCGCACATAAATCAAACCTACTTTTGTAAATATCAATACATACGAATGAATATGATGAGAAAAATGTTCATGAAACATCTACAGAACAAAACGCATGCTTAATGTGCTTATTTTTTAAATGCCTATTTTGCCCTTATATCTATCTATTTAGATGTAGATTTATTAAAATACCCTCCAAAACACTGTTCATTTTTCTCCAAATAACCGAGAACCAAAGCCACCAACCTTCTCTCTCAAGTTTGTCCCGCTGTCTTTCGTTTGCCATGTCCATCGCATATCCATGGCCTTTCTCCTAAACAAAATCAATTCCAGAGGCTCCTTAGTGTGTCTTGAAAATGTCTTGGTGGATTGGCAACGGTACGGAACCTGCCATCATAGTAAACAAAAGCATCTTAGTAGAATTATCGGAGATCAAGTGCTTTTGGTAAGCAATAATGAAGATCTAAATCCCGTCTGTGCTTCGAGCATCTTTTCTACTTTTCAAGCAATCATCGACCTTATAAATCTCAATAAATGTTTTATCAAAATTTAGAACACCATAATCAAATTAACCATATAAATAAAATTAAAAAAGTTGGAATTACCCGCGTAATTGAGAGTATAAGACAAACCATTGCAGCCACAAATCTTGACACCAAACTTCAAAAACTGGCTTTGCAATTTCTCTAATAGATGGCATATTCTAATGACCGCAACATTCATTAGCATAAGTGTTTGTTGTTGTACAGCTGGACCAACCTATAAATATTCTTTATGGCTGTTTTTCCCCCTGCTTTGATCCACTCCAACTGTGCTCCTTTTTTTAGTCTAATCACCAGTTTCTACATTCCAAGAGCAAATACATTTTGCTGTTAAAAACCAACCGAAGTCTTAACTGTTTAGAAGATGATTCTCACCTGTGTTCGGTTGATGGGTTGAAGAAGAAGAAGAAGAAGAATCATCTTTGTTGTTGAAGTCGAAGCTCATGAGATCGGAGATAGTGTCAAATTCTAATTAGAGGTCTTGTGACGCCAAATTATGACTACACTTCATGGCAATGAACTCGTAGATGATAGCTCCTCCGCACATATTAGGTTCAGATAGAGAAACAAATATCAAAATCAAATGAAACGAGAGTGATTCCACCACACATGCCTATCATTTATAATGCATCTGTTACAATTACATCCTTGAACTATCCATCCAATAATACTAAAATTGGACAAAATCGTAAGTTTTCTTTTTTTCTTTTTGGTGCAAACTTCTCTAATGGAGGGCAAAAGTAAGGACGACGATGAAGAATACATATCGTATGGACGACGATCAAGGGAGGTTTTGTGTTTTACCCTATTCTAAAATATCAATTAAAACTATTTTTAAATAAAAACTATTTTATGTTAGGTGTGCATGTCACATTTTAAATTTAAGTATATAAGAAGCTTTAAATATTATTTCATCTCATATTTCTAAAATCAGAAATTGTCTTAGGTATATTAAAACTTTTGCAATTCAACATATGTTATGTCACATAGTTGTATTTCCTATAAAATAATTCTTACTGATTTTTATAATGAAAATAATGCCCCATAATTTTGTAAGCAAAGAAGTTTGGGAAATTGTAATTGTATATAATTAGTTAATGTTTTATAAAATATAGAAATGATTTAAGATTTAAAATATTGTTAAAGTAATAGAAATTAAATTTAAAAAATATTGGGAAAATATTTCTTCTTTGTATTGCTTTTGCAATATTAGATCCTAAGATTAAGAAAAAATGGTGTAGATAATATATATGAATTACTTGAATCTTATTATGATAATAATATATATGAATATATATGAATTACTTGATCCTAAGATTAAGAAAATGTTTCTTCTTTGTATTACTTAAATCTTATTATGATAATATGGGAATTACTCTTGTAATGGAAAAGATAAAGTTAAAAATTTATTATTTGAAATGTATAATATATATGAATTACAAGAATTAGGACATAGAAAAACTTGTTGTACAGGCTCAACCTAGTGGAACCACTATTTCTAGTAGTGGATTAAATAAAGTTTGGTTATTAATAAGTAAATGACAACAACCAATTACCATTTCAGTAGCAAGTTCATTTTTTGAAATTCACTTTTGTTTACAAGCTAACTTTATATATTTCCTCAACTATTAGGATTACATAGTTTTACTATTTTAGTCTAGTGGAAAGAACATGAAAAAAAAAATGTCTAGTGCTTTCTGGTATCCACCATTGTAATCTAATTTAGTACTAGGATATTGGACGACAAGAAAAGTTACATAAATGACGAAAGTCTAGAGATGTGCATATATTTGAAGAATTGGCTAGAAGCAATTGACAAACTGCAAAATCATGAAGGGCATGATATGTCAATGATGGCAGTTTACCAAATGTAGATGATGCAAATCAAGGTTAAAGAGACAGAGGGTGTGGAACTTGAAGTTGAAGAAAATATTGAAGGCAATGTTTTTTGTATATTAAATAATTGTACAATATTCTTAAAATTATTGTAAATTTTGTTTTTCAATTTATTTAAAAGTTATTTGTGATTTTTTAATGCCATTGTAAATTTTTATTTTCAATTTTGTATTATTTTATTTCAATTCCATTATAATTTTTTTTTCAATTTTATTTTATTACTTCATATATGACCAATTGAAGTATTTTTTTAATATTTTCTATTTTTTTAAATGTTTTATTTTTTATTTTTTCATTTTTACTTAGAAAAAGAAAAAAAAAGTGAAAATGCTTAGAAAAAATTAGGATTAGGCCCATGGGCTGACCCAACCCAGGCTTGTTGCATGCCTCGACCTAGCTCGGGCCCATCTAGGCTCATGTCGCAGGCTGTGCTATGCTTCCCCATTGACGGGCTCTGGGCTAGAAAGGCATGGACTGTCCAAGCCCATGTGTCCGCAAGACACAACCTAATGCCCCAATCCGATGTGGGCAACCTGTAAAAATGGGTTGTTCCTAGAGCTGTAAAACGGGTCATGTCGCTCGTGGCCCGACATGATTTTGAGTCGACCCGACATGAAAAAATGTGTGCCATGCCGAGACTAGGGCTTCAAGTCCATGGGCCGGCATGACTAAGAGAGCCATGCCACCCATGGCCCACGTGTCAACACAACCAAACATGACCCATATATATAATATATATAATATATTATAATTATAATAATATATAATATATAATATATTAATAAAATAAACAATTATATACATCAAAATTCATTTAAAATAAAAATTTTAAGATTTTTTTTTCAATTTTTTAAATAGATGTTTCATAGCTTTAGCCCAATCTACAATCCGACTTAACCCAAGCCAGGCCCATGTAACATACGAGCTCTGGCTGTGGGCCGTGCCAGGGCAACTCCCCAAATTAAATATCATAAAGGACAAAGATATGACCCAGAACTACCCATAGGCCAACAGCACATGACCTTAACGTGCTGGCGGAGCATGGCCCGTTTTACATTATACCAATCACTGTAGCTTGTCCATTGGATATACTCTAGATATGTTCAATAATTAATTTTTCTATAAGACAAAATGTAGTAGACTAGTAGTTGAATCATGAAAGCCATATCAAGGGCCAGGTAAGGTTTGAGGCCCATTCATAAGAAAAAATGTGAGGTCTGAGTTCTGACCTAACATTTGGGCCTGAGCCCAAGATAGAAAAGAATTTTGGGCTTATTTGGCTAACAAATCCCTAATCTTGTAGGGCTATTTTAGCTTGAGGCAGATTTTGTAGGACTATTTGACATGTATGTTTGATTTCTAATATATAAAAAACCAGAAAAGAACCAAACAAACCATGATCTTACTTCTAACCGTTTTGGTGAAAGGTGAATTCGACCATTGGGGACGAAACGAGACCATTGATCTTACTTCTAACAGGTTGAATTTTGGTTAGGTTTTAAGTGCTCAATCCTAGTCGGGCACGAAACTAGACCATTGGGAAAAGCAGCCGGCCGGTGACCAGGAGGATTTGGTCAAGCTTTGCTGCCCAAACCTCTCTCTCTCTCTCTCTCTATGTCTGGTCTGAATTTTAGAACTATGGATTGAAGAGACAAAGATATGTATCATCTCTCATACATTGAAGAGACAAAAATCGATCAATTTTATTTTATTAACATCACATAAAACAGATACAATTAATCAAAGATACATAACTACATAATCAATAAACAGACCCATCAATAATCTATCTCGTCATGCCTTCTTCCACCATTGGAGCCACTGCAATTCCACGATTTCGTTCCATGTTGCCATGCCATCCTAGAAATCAAAGAATAGCAAAGACCCATTAATGGTTTGAACACAGACCGACAGATAAACAGATATGAGATCAATTGATCAGAGATGGTTTTAGTTAGAGAGAGAGAGAGAGAGAGAGAGAGACCTATGGACATGTCGAATCCACGTTTTTTAAGTTCTCTGTATTCTTGGCATAAGGCGCATGTCTCGCAACAAAAGTGAACCAGGCAATCTCCGCAGGGGCTCGACTGCAACGAGTATTGCTGCCTCAGCTTCGCTCGATAGATGCATGAATACATGCAAGCACAGCAAGTGAACCAATTGAGGAATGCGTAAATCGCTCCGCTCATTCCACAGGCTGCAGTCCTCTCACATGCAAAACACAGTCGTCTCAATCCAAACAATCTCAAAAAGCAACCCGTAAATTCAGTGATTTCAAGTGATGTACTCACGCAGTGATCCTTTATCGACGATCTCGGCGATTTGGCCGAACGTGATGCATGGGCACCAACAAGTGATGCAACCTGTGAAAATAGAGCACAGCCCATGAAACGGCAACGAGTGGAATATGAAGAAGACGAAATGAAAGAAACAGAGATAGAGAACATACAGTTGGGAACATCGGCACAACAATCGCAGAGACCAGTCGACCATGGTGTCTGGGCTTGGGGTTGAGTTTGATAGACAGGTGGGGTACTCAGCGGGACCCCGATGACTGGGGGTTGAATGAATTGAGGATCATGTGGTGCTGGTGGTGCCGTGGGCGTCGGAGATGGTGGGAACTGTGGCGGTGGCGGTGCTGAACTTGGTGGTGGTGCGTAACCTGTGTTAGACCAATGCATTTTTCTTTTTTCCGAGGGAGAGAGAGAGAGAGATGGAGTTGCTGAATGCTGACAGCCTGCCATCGTATTTGTATGTTTCGTGTGGGTATTGCTACATTTCCTTTTGTTCTGGTAAACTTCGCTGATTTTTCTTTAGACCGGGTAGTCGGGTAGGGATGTCGACATACCGCGTTACTGTGTATTGCTCTGAAGTCTAAACAAATCCAGAAATGGATTGGATTTGATGGGATAGACCACAATCCGTGAATCCGACACTTAAATGTTGGCTTCAAAGTGGGAAAACAATGGGAAAGAAATTAAACTTGGGTAAATGCCTACCCAATTTAGTTTTAATGCACGGAGAGGCATCGGAAGAAAGAAAAAAAAAAAAAACCAGTTTAACATTACTTGATTGGGTTCTGCAAATCAAACGGTGAGAGAGAGAGAAAGATTTGGGTGACGCGTATTTCAAATTTGGACCATAATTCATAAGTGATCATCAATATCTAATTCATATGAAATTAGATTGGATTGATTTAACATCAAAAGCAGCCGGAGGTTTAACCCAAATTTCCTACTCACTTTTCCTACCCACTCTCTACCCGTCATGAATTATACCTACAAATTTCTCAATTCATAATAGAGATGTGTGATCATAAATCACTGCAGGTAGAGAATAGATAGGAAAAGTGAGTAGGAAATCCTGTTTGGATTTAATGTTTAAACCCTCTATCATAAAGAAAACGCGCTTGTTTTGTGTGGTTATTGTGGATGATTATTTTTTATCATAAAATATAGATTCTAATTTGTGCTGACGGTAACAATTGGAGCCCATTTTCTTGAAAAAACCATTTATGTTTGAAGAATGACTTCTCATCGCTATCTTAAAATAATTTTAAAATTAATAAATTATATTAGTGAAGAAGAGAATATTTACCATACCTAAAGGTTACATTTATCAATCAGTAATAAATCTGCAGCACATCATAGTTGACGTCTTTAACGTTATTAAAGTTTCGATGATAATTATACAACTTGTAGAACAGCATGTGACTTCTTCAACATGACTAGTTGAAATCTTTGTTTACGTGTTGCATATGTTGGTTAAAGTATCATAGTTGGACTTTGAAAACTTCTGGATTCTTCGTTTTCTCTATTTCCTGGATATATTGTTTTTGGTGGGAAGAAAAGACAACCACCCAAGAAGTCCTTATGTTTGGTTTGAAGGAAAATGTAGGGAAAGGAAGGGAAACCTTAATAAACATTGTCTGGGTTCCTTTGTTTTTCCCTACCTTTTTCCTTCAAATCAAACATAGCCTAAGAAAAATGTAATCTAGTTCCAATGGAGGATTTACATGAAAGCAAAAATCACTGCCACTTGATTTCCTTCTCTGCACATGAAAGCAAAAACCAATCCAGGCTCAGCCCAAGCAAGACGTACACTTCAATCCCAGGCCAGGATGAGAGTTGAGACTCCAAGTTGGCCTAAGGTGTTGGACCCGTGCCCAGCCCAACTTAGTATCCCCATCCTCACTCCTCAGAATGGATTCAGGTCAAAGTTGGGGCTTTTCTAGGCTTCGTTATTGAACTAAAAACAAAAACGAAAGGCAGAATACAATTTAATTTGAACCAGTCTTTAGTCTTTCAATTATCGCTTGGGCAAACAAATTATTCATCTGTAGAGCTTCCTCACACTGATAGCACTAACATAGGATGCAATATTACACCGATACATTCACATTTTGGTACTTAAATAGATCAACAAGCTAGCAACCAGATAAATTACCATTGACTAAATCAGAGAACCTTCTTCCACAATCGGAGCAATCGCTACACCACGATTCTGTTTCCCTGGTTAGCTTTCCATCCTAAAACAAACAAAATCATAAATAGATAAATGGGTATGGATGTAAACAAGACTTGGGCCTGTTTGTACGAATTGAGAGCAAATTCTGGTTTACTTTGTTTTTGTTCCTTTGGAATTCTACCTGAAACGTTATGGGTCAATTAATATGATCATCCCCATGCGTACATTTATCTACAGCCAATATGTAAGGCCTGGGGAGGGATAGATGTACACAGCCTTACCCCTGTATATATATATAGAGAGAGAGAGACTTTTTCCAAGATTTGAGCCTCGATTGACACAGGTCACAAGGCAACAACCAAACATTTGGTGGAGGGCGTTGTTGCTATTAGCTCTAATATCACCAACATGTAGGTTGGGGCCATCGTCGTCTGTCCAGATGAGAATAATGATGCTTACACAGATGTGAGACCAAACCACCAGCAATCAGAGCCTGTAAAATTAAACTGTTAATACAGCACCTTTCGTCGGTGTTTTGGCTAAATTTGCCAGACATTTATTCTTGACACTGAATTGAACGTAATCTCAACAGGAGATTGTTGTATGCCTTCAATTCGAAAAGTGAAAAAGTTATCAAGCCAATTTGGTAAATGGTGTGACAAATGATTTTAGTTAGTAAGAAACCATTTCAGACCTAGCTTGAAATTGACTAGGGCTATAATTGCTCCACACAACCTGTGGTAGATCCAAACTGTTCATGAGATAGTGGATCTCTGGATTGGCCCAAATTTGAACAGCCATATGAGCTATTGCCTCTGGGGGTGAGCAAAAGAACCAAAAAACCGGATCGACCGAAATCAAATCGAAAAATCAGTTAATCGAATTGGTCGGTTCAGTATCGATTAATCATTTAAAAAAATTGGTGGTTAATTGAACTGACCGATATATATTTTCATAATATAATATTATATTTTATTTTAAAAAAAATCAAATAAAAATGTTCGACAGTCTGAAAGAGTTCAGACTGCCGAACTGAGAGTTGAGACAGGTTCGCCAATCTGGCACCCAATGGCTGCCAGTCTGAGTCGTCTGACAGACTAACACCCGTTGGCCACTGCGCAGGCCTTCTTTTTCTTTCCCTTTCTCTCTTGGATTCTCACTCTCTCTCTGAACTCTCTCTCTCGCCTCTTAGTCTCTCTCTGAACTCTCTCTCTCGCCTCTCAGTCACACTGAACTCTCTCTCTCGCCTCTCAGTCACACTGAACTCTCTCTCTCGCCTCTCAGTCTCTTTCTGAACTCTCTCTCTCTCTTCTCTCAATCTCTCTCTGAGCTCTCTCTCTCACCTCTCAGTCTCTCTCTGAAGTCTGAACTCTCTCTCTCGCCTTCCAGTCTCTCTCTGAGCTCTCTCCCTCTCTCGCCTCTCAGTCTCTCTCTGAAATCTCTCTCTCTCTCTCGCCTCTCGGACTCTCGCGCTGGTTCTGGCCTTTGGCACTCTGCCCTTCAACCGATTCATCGACGGCCTTCGACACTAGCGATCTGCGACACTGGAGGCTTGGCCTATGGGTTAGAGGCTAATGCATCTTGGCGACACTGGCGATCCCAATATCGTGTTTTTCCTTTTTCTTAATTTTAATGGCATGAAGAACCGAACTACGGTTAACCGGTCCACCAGTTAACCGGTTAACCGGTTGTATCAGTTCAGTTGAATGTAAAAACTGAACCTATCGGTTTGGTCCAGAAAATTACCCCATGGTTCGGTACCCTAATTGCCTCACCTTGTATTGGTGATTTCCATAATATTAGTTCTCCAAATTTTAAATTTTACATTATAAGATAGTAAAGTGGGCTAATATTTGCATGCATTGTAGTGTTTTTTGGGCTGAAAGCCTTTTTTTATATTAATGGAGGGTGGGGATTGGATCTTGAAAACTCTTTTTTCATAGCTAACTAAAGCTCCATTTGATTCACAGGAATAGGATTTAGAATTGGAATTGGGATGGGCTATTCTAATTCCTACCATTTGGTTGGGTGGAATCGGAATCCCATTCCCATTCCTAGTGGAATGGCATTCTCCCATTTGAGGGAACGGCCATTCCCTTCCCCTCGGGAATGAAATCTCATTCCCTCTTATTCTAATTTTCATTCTCATTAATTTCTATCTGAACAAAACAGACTATGGGAATAGCCCATTTTGATTCCAATTAAAAACCAAAGGGACTCTATTGTGATGTGAAAGATTGCAGAATAGATTTACATTATTAGCTTTCCACATATCATTTTTTTGGTGTTGTAAACTTTCCACAGACCAAAAGATGTGTCAAAAAGACATGAAACACCACCAATATTAACTTAGAACATAGAAAACCCACCAAAGACTAGCGTTTAGAGGACTGAAGAAAGAATAGTCTTTCCTTCATATAGTTTTCAGTGAAACTGAAGACTAGGAGGGTGCTTGGGACCAATGCATTGCACGGCCGTTTCGATTCCACCGACATTAGAAAAAAAAATTGGTAAAAAAATCACATTTTGGTAGTCTCTTTCTAAAAGAGCTGGGATCTGCTCCTCACAAATGGACACTTCATAGGTACATCCACCGTGCATTGGGAATATCTTCCGTGAATAATAACTAATAAGTATGGGAGATGTTCCCAATGCATGGTAGGGCGTGCGTGTGTGGCGCCTGAGAGGCGCCAGGTGTGAGGAACAGATCCGATCTCCCTACCAGTTCAAATCAGCCCCTGACAAGACTGCCCCCCACAATGTTCCACAGCATATCCCCGCCGTGTATTGGGAACATCTGATGATATACCCGGAATGATAATATAGTCATCGAGAGATGTTCCCAACACATGGCGGGGATGTGCTGTGGAACGTTGTGGGGGACTGATTCGGTCTCTCAACCTACATCCCCATTTTTTTTTGTGTGTTTTTTTTTTTTCTTTTTCAGAAAAACATGTGTAATGAAACACTTGTAAATGGGAGCCCACTTGTGAAAAAGAACGCATGTGGAATGTTCTTGTCTCAAACGTCCCCTAGCTGAATGATAATGATGTTACTGATGATTGCTCGTAGAAATGGTTACATAGTTCAATGAATTTCTGAACAAAAAAAGAAGAAAGAAAGTTTTGAACTTTCAACAGGTTGATCATAAGTTTATAACCAACCAAGAAAACCATTTGTTCTTAAATGAATAGAAAGGGGCCATGGACCCTTTATTTCCCTCTCCTCTGAAAACCCAATAGATCAGATATCTCCCCTTTTTCATGGCAAGATCTAGAACAACCGAACAAGATAATATTTACTAGATAATCAGATTTAAATTAGTAAACCCTACAAAGTTTTGGGCTTCTATTACTTGTATATGGCACCTTGCTATTTTGAATTATGAGTCCAGCTTGAAACCAATGGACTCTGTTTGGTTTGATAGAATAAAATAAGAAGCAAACAGAAAATTGAGGGGAATTTTCACAAAATCTGCGAAGAACCTTCCTTCGATTTTTCTGTTTTCCTCCTGCTTAATTTGGATCAGACAAAACATAGCCATAACGTACCGATATGATATACAGAGATTATTAATTTCAAACATGAGATTAAATAGACCAAACTTATATCGAAAACAAAAGCTAAACATCGTCCTCAATTCCTCATCACTCCCCACATCTAACAAATTAAAACCTGCATATTTAATACAACAAATAGAACAGTGATCACTTCAGCGGATCATGCCTCCTTGCACGACTGGAGCCATTGTCACTCCACGGTTTTGATTTTGCATATTACCAGACCATCCTGACAAATTAAAATGACAGCAATTTCAATATATAATAAGATGATGATGAAAAGAGATCTAGATAGTTAAAACTAGGTGGGTAAGATGAAATGGTATGAATTAAGTAGAGAAAAGAACCTTGAGCCATGGAGAATCCACGCTGTTTGAGCTCTCTGTACTCTTGACACAAGGCGCAACAGTCACAGCAGCAGTGAACAAGGCAATCAGCACATGGGGTCTCCTGCAGGGAGAATTGCTGCCGCAGCATGGATCGGTAGGTGCAGGAGTATATCCACGGGCAACCCAACAGAACCCAGATGAGAGTGTAAAGGGATGCACTACCAACACAAGCTGTACGTAGTTACCATAAAAGCATTCTCAATCTGTGAATTACATCAATTTCGAAAGCCCAGAACTGCGTAAGATGGATCAATAAAGCACAGAATGAGTAGTACACTGTCACTTACAGGAGGATCCTTTGCTGACGATTTCGGCGATGCGGCCAAACGTAATGCATGGGCACCAAAGCGTCAGACAACCTGTTATTTAAAAGGAATGTATTATGAGGTTTTGGTGATGTATAATGGGAAAGTTAGGTTGAGTCAATACTCACAGCTCTCACAGTCGTTGAAGCAGTCGAAGAGGCCGCTTGACCAAGGATACTGAGCTTGAGAATGGATTGGAATCACATTTAGGGGATTCTGCTGGCTTATGTTGGGCGGAAACTGAGCAGGTAAAGAATAAACTGGAATCTCAGCCGGATAATTCTGAACATTGTTAGGTTGAGAATAAACTGGAATCGCAGCCGGATAATTCTGAACATTGTTTGTGGAATACATGTTTCCACACTTACTACACAGATAGATGGAGAGAGAGAGATATGAATGGGGGGCGAGAATTAGGTTAATAGGTTGTGCGCTATATCAAAGGTTAAAGGGGCAGGAGGTCAACTGGTGAAGTCGTTGCCCGTTGGAGAGGGCTGGAGCAAATTAAAGTAAAGGTTAAGTCGTCGATCTCCCGATGGAGTCCGGAAGACTAATACAAACCAAACCAAAGAGGTGAAGTCGTTCTCCCCCTCGACCCCACCCTCCCCCAAAGTCCCAGTCGACTCCGAACGAGTCATGACAGGCCTGACAAAGATATTAATACGAAGTTAGGTATACAGCTGTAAAACGGGTTGTGCTGGCCGGAATGACATGGCCCGCAATTTGTGCCCGTGTCTCATTTTAAGTCCAGTCCTGTTTCTTTCCTTTGGGATAATTTTGGGGGTTGGCATACTATAATCTATGGCCTGAGCCCGTGTAGGCCTATGCAGACCATGTCATGGGCCTTGGCATGGTATAGTTTATAATTTTTTGTCAAGTAAAACTAAAATACTTAACTTTCATTTGAAAACTAATTAAAAAAATAAGAAATCTAACAAAGAAATGAAAAATAAATACTTAAGTATTTAACCAAATATAAAGTCAAAGACTCAAAGTAGACAATAAATTGGAAAAAAATAGAAATTTTATTTCATTTAAATTTGAACAATGCAATGGTTGGATGAATGAAATATGGAAAATGGAATAAATTAATAAAATATAAAAAAGTACAATATAATTATAAATAAAAAATTACATTGTTAGAAAAATATCAAGTAATTTAAATAAAATTCAAACAAAATTTACAATAATTTGAAAAAATGCTATACAACTATTGAGTACACAAAAAATATTGACTTCATAATTTTCTTAAAACTCCACCTATACCTCCATCTCCTTAACTTTGATCATCTGCTTCAGGTGAAACATTAGGTGTAGTGCCATGCCCTCCTTTGTCTTGTAATCTATCTTTAGCATCCAACCAATCTTTAAAGCAAAGGCACATCTTCAGACTTTCATCACTCATACTTCTCTCGTCGTCCAACACCCTAGTACCTGCATTAAGACGATACTCCGGTGGTACTATAGACATTGGAGGGGTTATTAAATCATGTTTTATGGCAGCAATGACTGGATAATTTTTTTCATGTCTACTCTACCAGGCTAAAATATTAAAAATATTAATTTCCTCTGAGGCGAATAAATCACTTAAATTAGAAAATTTTGCTTGTAAATAAAAATTAAGTTCAGCAAATGAACTTGTTTATGAAGACGCAATAGATTTCTGCCTCCTACTTATTAAAAACCAAAATTTTTCTTTTCCACTACTAGAACTAGTTTCAGACTTTCAAAAGTGGAAGATGTACTTGTACAAGTTTTATATTTCTTATGCCCTGATATTTTAGATTCATATAAACTATACATTTCAAATAATTTTAGTTTCAGACTTCCGAGGGGCTGTACAATCATCGTTGAGGATATCAATCAAAAGTCTGGAGTCTGATTCCACCATAATTTTATCTAGGTTATGGGAAATAGCCAGGTGTAAGCCATCCAACAAAGCCATAGCCTCTACAACTAAATTGGAGTCAAAGCCATATGTGTTAGAGAAGGCACTAATAAAACCATTTCTTCCATCTCTGATAATACCCCCTCTGCCACATGGGCCCGGATTGCCTCTCGAAGCACCATCAACATTCAATTTTAAGTAACCCTCCGGAACGGCCAATAAATGCACCACTTTGATGTGTCTACCCTTAATTGGATGGATCCACAACCCCAAACCTTATAAGGAGAGTTGTTGATTAAAACTCACCTTATGGGTTAGATTTAAGGAAGTGGAGAACTCATGAATCCATCGCACTATCACCAAAATCACCAATTTAGAGCATCAAAGTTTATTTTCCTTTCTTTGCCTGTTTCTTTCTTTCCAGATTTCCCACACTACAAAACAAGCAATTAGCCCTACTACAATAGCCCATTGATTTTTTTTTTTTCTGAGGCTGTTGAAAACCAAAATGAGAGAAGCTCCTTAATACTCTCATTACCCCTGAAAGGGAGCCCTAACATTCTGCTAAAGAACAACATGCACCAACAAATGGTTGATATCTTCCTCTAAGTCGTCACAGCAGTAGACACATCTGGAGACAAAAGGGACTCCTAATTCCTTTATATCAGAATACACCCCAATCTTCCCAACCATAAGTTTCCAAACAAAGAAGCTTATCTTGGTGGGCATTAAAACATTCCAAACCACCTTGTACTAGTCCACTGTGGGATGAGCAGTTCTATAGAAGGACCAAGCTAATTTTATAGAGAAATCCCCTTTCACCTCAGGGAGCAAAACTATTTTATCTTGGCTGTTAGAGACCTTCACATCGGACCCCTGAATACTGCTGAGAACCTCCTCCTCAAGAAAAACCCTAACCTGATCCCTGCGCCAAACTCCTGCCTCATCAATAACATCACAAACTCTCAACTACAAATTTAGACCATCTAGCTGTATGACTTTCTCAATTAAAAGACCATCCACGGTCCAATTATCAAACCAGAAGTTGATCTCTCCCCTTCCCATCATCCACCTTGAGAGATGAACTAAATCACCTCTTAGTTCCATGTTAACTTTCCAGGTACGAGATGTGTAGCAAGGAGGGATGGCTGTATAGAAATGACCATGTTTCAACACCTTGGCTTTGAAGAAATCAGCCCACAAGGAGTTCTGAAATAGCACTCGCCACAAAGCTTTCGGCTTAAAGGCTTTTGCAGTCCACCTTCAGAAAAAGGTCTCACAGTTTTTCTCCAAGCGACCCAATGGTGATGATTAACTAAGTCTGAATTAGACCACGGGAAACCTTTCATCAACTATTCTAGGCACCTGATAACCATCTTGGGAGTTGCAAGTACCGACATCAAGTATATAGGAATGCTATTTAAAACATGTCTAATTAGGACCAGCTTACCTCCTGCCGAAATCACTTTCCCTTTCCAGCCCAAAATTTTTGCTACCACTTTCTGCACAACCCCATCAAAGGCTTCTGCTTTCACATGACCCTTACCAATTGGTATACTAAAGTAAGTGAAGGGAAGAGGCTTATGCAAGAAACCCATGGTTGATGTGATAATTTGGATTTTGTTGTGAAAAGCTTTTGCTGAAGTGAAAAACCAGCTCTTAGCCTTATTCACCAATTGACCTGAACACTTCTCGTACCTCCGGATTATTGTCATGACTTTCTCTAACACTTGCTTGGACTCTCTTGTGAAGATAATGGTGTCATCAGCATAGAGACTGTGGGTGATAGGTGGATATCCCCTGTGGGTCACATAAACACCTATACGATACTTTTCACCCAGTTTAGATAAATTTCTACTGACTACCTCCTCTACAATGATAAATAAGTAAGGCAAGAGTGGATCCCCTTGCCGCAAGCCTCTGGTAGACTGAAAGTAACCTGTGACTCCTCCATTCCAAAGGACTAAGAACCAACAATTAACAACCATTTTTCTAACCAGCTCAATGCAGGCTTCACTAAAACCGAACTATCTCAAGACAGTGAAGAGAAAGTCTCAATTCAGCCGATCATAAGCTTTTTCCATATCTAGATTAAGAACTACATTCCCCCCCCCCCCCACTACCTTCCTTTCAATATCATTAACCATTTCCTGCACTAGAGACACATTTCCATGATGTTCTGCCCCTGAATGAAAGCACCCTACTCTTGTGAAATTATCTTAGGTAAAACGCCGGCCAATCTTTTAGTAAAGATTTTTGCAATAATTTTGTAGCAAAAATTACATAAACTAATGGGACGAAAATCTATGAAACTTTCAAGAACTTTGCATTTTAGAATCAAAGTAATAAAGGAGGAAGTGTAACTCATCGGAAGCTGGCCACCATTAAAGAAAAATTGTACAACCCCTACCACATCCACTCCAAGAATACCGCAACACGAAACAAAAAATAAATGCCCCATAAAACCATCCGGTCTTGGAGCACTGTCTCTGTCCATGGCATGAACCACCTCTTGAATTTCTGTCTTAGAAGGAACGACCAAAAGAAGTTCATTGTCTCCTTGATTTACCACACACTGTATGACTTCCAGTAAATCTTCATCACAAGCAACCCCTTCCTCTAATAGGACACTGCAAAAATAGTTCAATGCACCCTATTTTGTCTCCTCTAGATCAGTAATTCAATCTCCTATAGAATCTTTGATTTTGCATATTTTGCTTCGCATTCGATTCAGCTTAACAGAGAGATGAAAGAATTTTGAGTTTCTATCACCCTCTTTCAACCATTTTATTCTAGATTTCCTCCAGCTTGTGAACTTCATGAAGTTTCTTCCTCTCCTCTCTTAACTCCGTGAATCTAGCAACTGAGTTCATCTGTAAGTGATTCATTTCTGCACGTTGAACACTATCTTATGCCTCCTTCATTGCTTGATGAACATTCCCAAAAACCTCCCAATTCCATTGCTTGAGTTATACTCATTAATTTATGTAATTTGATAAATAAACTCACCAAAGGATTGGCATGAACCTCCTTAGTTCAGCAGTCCCTAACAACCGTGTAAAAAGAGTGATGAGAGAGCCACATCTGCTGAAATCTGAAAGGCTTGGGACCTAGACGTCTTTCCTCCTCAATAGAAAAAACCGAAGGGCAATGATCTGAATAGGTGCAATTGAGATGAATGATAGGCTTCAAAGGGAAGGATTGAGCCCAACTGGAATTAACCAGAACTCGATCTAGACAAGCCCAAACACAATCTAAACCTTCTTTATTATTGCACCAGGTGAACCTGCTTCTGGAGAAACCCAAATGTACCAAGCCCACAACATTTATCAAATCAACAAAATCCTCCATTGCAAAGACATCAGGATTTCTTCCACCCACTTTTTCCTCTCTACAAGCAATCACATTAAAATCTCCAGCTAACAACCAGGATTCGAAAATACCAAAAGCTAAATTCCGAATTTTGTCCCAAAGAAATATTCTTTCTAGCCGATCACATTTAGCATAAACCACAGAAAGAAAAAAATATCTCATTGGCAGAGGTGGTAAATTTCACAGTTAGGATTTGATCACAGTCCTCTATCAACTGTATAGAGGAAAAGCTATTCCAAAATAGAACAATTTTACTACTAATATTAACCATGAAACCAATCATGCTGAGTCTCCTGGAAATCACAGGGAAAGCCTATCATCCCTAATCTTGGGTTCAGAAACTGCTACCACACCTAACTTATGTAGTTTGCAAAGTTTTTTCAAACGAGTGATAAAGGGATCACTTGCAATCCCTCTTATATTCTAGAATAGACCATTCATTGAGAACATCTAGAAGTAATCGTACCTTGGCAAGTCTGCGATCTGGTAACTGGCTTGTTCTCACTCTGCACATATTTTTTTGCGAGGCCTTTTCTTGTGAACCACCTGTGTTCAGTTTTCCTCCACCTCTAACCTAACTTCATCTTCAGATAGGGTGCAGGAAGAACTTTCAGCTCTTTCAGTAATTTTGTTGAGCAACTCAGCATCAGAAATGTTGATAGTATCGTGCCCCCAACGAGAGAGCCTTTCATCCAGTTCCAACTTGGATTTTCGCAAATCCTCAAGGCTCTAGATCCAACCAGGCTTCCTAGACGAAAAGGTGATCGTCTCCAGATTGATTAGCCGAACAGGCTTCAAACTAATGTCGTCTTTGGACGCAAAGGATTTGCGCACCCCCTCTGTAGGAATCATCATCTGTTTTGGGATTTCAATTTGTTGAATCTAGATCTCCTCTGTATTACGATTTTCGGTCACTTCCCTTTCTGTAACAGTTGCAGTAGCTCTACGAACTTCCTGGTAAACCTGTTTCATAACTTATTTTTCCTCGGGTGCTTGTTCAGGTTCTACAGGCTTTGAAGCTGAAGTGGACTTGGTCTTGGCGACTTCTCCCTCTATTTTCAAAGTTCTCTTCAGTTTTAATTTGCATTCACCCTCATCGTGACCATGTTTGAAGCAGAACATGCAGTATTTGGGAAGGTTCTCATAACCTATTTCCTGCCAGAAACACTCCTTGTTGAGCCCAACCCAAACACAACTAAGGTTTAATTTCAAAAGATCAACCTCCACACAAACCCTTGCCGCCATTGTTTTGGTTAAATGAGCAGTTGCCGAATCCACTTTGAGGACTCTTCCTGCTACCTACGCAATTGATCGCAGATATTTGTCATTGTACAGATTAATCGGCAACATTGGCAGAGAGATCCAAAGAGGAACCACTGAAGGTTCCCACCCTAACTCCAACCAATGCGTCTATTTTAGAATCTTAGCAGAAAATCCTTGATAAAAATAGCCTCTCACAACCAAACCCTAAGGTATTCCTCCCCACTTTCAAATCTGAGAAGCACATGCTTTGGATCCAATGCAGTGACAAGAATAGCTTTTTGGAGTCTAAAAGTACCTACCAAAAATTCCCTAATTTCCACAAGGGAAGGGCGACCATATGAACATTTTCCAACCGGTGCAAATTGGAGAGGGGAGAGAGATTTCTCAATATCTTCTTCTGAGAATAGCACAACAGGTTCTCCCCACTTGATCGAAGGTACCTTCAAAGGAATATCCACCGCCGGTGGATCAAGAATAGTAGGAAAGGGGTTCGTAGTGGAAGCAACCACTGAAGCAAAGGAAGGAACACCTTGAGACTCCACAGGTGGTTCCCCCATTTTGTTCAATCCGATCAGATAAGTGAGGTTGCCTATTGGATGAAGTTGTTCATCCTAGAATTTGGAATCCTACTATATCACCCATTCCACTGTTGTGACATCTTTCCTAATCATACGATTTAATACTATAGCTACGCAATAGAGGGGATAAATGTTCTCCCAATATTTTTTAAATTTATTTTCCATTATATTTCAATAATACTTTAAATTGTGAATTGTTTCTATATTTTGCAAAACAATCAYTRATCATCATTAAYTGATAASCTAAATTACAACTAGTTGGGTAATAAACACCTGATAATTCATTAATTGCATAATAAAAATGTTTTATACAAATTTCAATTTCCCAGTCTTCTTCAAATATAATATCTTATGTGACATATTCGCATTATAAAAATCACTAAGAATTTGTTTGTAAGAAATACAACTTTCTAACATAGCATAGGTAGTAATTAGATCTGCTCATGGGCTGGACTTTGTATATGTATCAACAAAATACACATAGGCCTGAGCCCGAGCCTGGCCCGACCATCGGGCCTAAGTTTTGAGCCCAAGCCCGGCCCTCATATAAAGCCTGAAGCCCGGGCCCGAGTCAGAGCCTGACCAGAAATTTGGAAATAGAATTTTTTTTCTTTTTTTATTCAATAAAAAGTGTTATTTATATTAAAAACCTTCAAAACTCAAAAATAATAAACATCTCAATGTTACTGGAAAAAAAGAGAAGAATAAAGAAAAAATATTGTATATATATATATATTAAATAAAATATATTTTTATTATTTAATATATAGTATTAAGTTGGGCTCTGGCTCAAGCTGGGCTTTTTTGAGAAAGCCCGAGCCTGGCCCAAAAAAAAGTCAAGCCTAGTGCTTTAGGCCCGAGCCCAAGACCGCAGGCCTAAAATTATGACCAAGCCCAACTTAATAACAGGCCAGTTGGGCCAGCACGTCGGGCTACCCGACCCATGAACAAGTCTAGTAGTGATGTAGGAATATCTAGTCGACCTGTAGATCTTGACACATGGTGTCAGTCAGATGCATCTTGGCCGTCCATCATCAACTACTATCAACCACTCCCAACTACTCCTCTTCTAGGGCAACTCTAGCTATAAAAGGGGCTCCAACATTGAGGTAAAGACGTACAGACTTAAGCTCTAAGTTTCCTCACTTGCTTGGTCTGACCCCTCACAACCCTTGCTTGACCGTTAGAGTCTTCACCCCCGGGATAACTCCCAAGGCCTATGACATCTTATTTGTCTTTGTGGGTTGGACCCATCAGTCTCAAGCACCAAAAATTACGTTGTTGCCCTAAACTCCATATTTGGAAGCAACAATTGGCGCCATCTATGGAAAACATCTTCAAAACTTTCCCCTAAGAAAAACAAATTTAAACTAATCAACTAGTGCCCCCGAAATGGCTGACAAGCAAGACATCATTCCTAACATTTGAAACTTAGTCACAATCGACCAATTCGATCTGGTCATGGATAGGCTAGACAACCTAGCCTAGCGGTTGGACAATATAGGGCATCTCGCAATAGGCCACCCACAATGTGGCCGTTGTTGGAAGCCACGGACAACACGGTGGGTGATCCGCCCATACCCTGCTAAGCCAATGCTTGGGCGACCTAAAGGAGGCCGATCCCATGGAATCCGACAACAGCCAACGGGTTGGCAAGCTCCATTCTAAGACCCCTCAACTCCCTAGCCAAGGGGGCTACCCCGTGGACTCCCATGCTGAGCGTAGGAACCACAACCGTCAACACAGTCATGCAGTGATTAGCCGAGACAACGGCA